CTGTAGAGAACAAAAAAACAAACTAACACTATTGAGAACCTATGCCTTTGCGTTTTTAAACACAATTTATTAAAATTTTCATCTGTTTTACTACCTAGGTTTGTTTCCTTTCATCATATATAAAGAACCATAGCATAATTTAGGTTGGAAGGGACCAGAGAGCTATCTGCTCTACCTCCCCCTGCCCCCAAACAGCACTAGCTCCAGCATTAGATCAGGTTACTCAAGGACTTGTCCAGTCAAGTTCTGAATACCTCCACGGCTGGAGGTATCAGGTCTCCACAACCTCTCTGGGCAACTCTCAGCTGCAAAAGCATAAAATGACTATAAACTGAACAGAACGTCAGTTCAGTTTTGCATTCAGAGATACAAATATGTTCCTGCGGTATTTGAATTTCAAGAGCTATTGGGACTTGAGACTATTTGCTAAAAAACTACAGAGGTTTCCTTCACATTTAAAATTCCCTCAAAAAAATTTTGATGTCAGCTTGAGGTTTTTGGTACATTGCAAATTGCAAAGAATTTCAGATTTATAAAATCATATTTTAAGTTGCTTCTCTTAAATTTGTTGCACAAAGCTGTCTGCAGTATTTTCTCCCATTTTAGACTCATTTTTAAAATAACCCTTTTCCCTATAAACATTAAAGAATATGTAAATGCTTAAATCTTTGTTACTTCTATTGTCTCTCAAAGCAACAATGCAAACACTACTTCTTCCATGGGCTCACATCCACTAATAAAGTTTAGAGCACAGCAGAGTCTGTTAGTGCTGGATATTCCTACTACCTTTCTTTTAGTGCCTTCAATGTAAAGCTGTCTATTATCCGACGTTCCAGCTGGCTCGCTAATCTGAGAACAGTAACCGCTACAATTCACTTTAAGTCCCTTTTTATAGACTTCTGTGTTCTGCCTATCAAATCAGAACATTATCTTATAAATTTGCTCAATTCCGTATCTTTTATTTCACAGCTAAGCTGCTCCTATTCCTGTCCCATAACACTGTGAATGTTGCAGAATCACTGTAATACATTACATTCACTCGGTCAAGAAAAAAGAAAAAGCATGATTTTTTTCTCATTACTTCAAATTGGAAGCTGCCCACCATCAAGAAGTGAGCCGAAGGTTAAATTAAAACTCATCTGGTTGACACTAGTATCTGACATCCAAAGCAGTCTGGATGCAGGCCAAGACAAGAAGCTCAGATCGCAACAGTGACTACAGTGAAGAGCCCTGCGGCTAGCAGAGGGATGACAGATAATCGTTTTCATTCTTAATCTCTGAATGAGGACTTAACCAATTCCTGAGAGCAGAAAAGAAGGTAGGACTAGAATCCAACAGTTGTATAAAGCAAAAATATGGCTGCACTGTTAGTAATGTCCTCTAGCTTTCAAAACAGGTCCCTTCCAGGGTAAGTGACTGAAGGGAAACTTCTGGCCCAATCTCTCCACTCAGAGCCCTAAAGTTCTCCCAAATTCCCCTGTTTCTCCCTGTCCCACCCATAGCCCACTAACTCTACTCATCATTTGTCTTCTAATGCTCTTTTGTTGCAGAACCTCTGTTACATTCACCCCTAGGTCCATCTGTTCCCTGCTTCTTCTCACCAGCACATCCTGTTGAGTTACCTGCTCGTTCCACAGAGGAAGTACTATCATCTCCTCAGCTGAAAGCATCCAAATCTGCTGCAGCTGCAGGGCTTCTAAGGCAGCAGCAGATGTCGCAGTCAACTGGCCAGGTAAGCCTTTATGTCTCTCTTATGTAAAGCACTCCCCAACCTCTGTAAATGGCAGGGATTAAAAAAAAACAAAAAGCAAACCAAAAAACCAACCACCCCCCAAAACTGCACACCAATAGTACTTTTCAAACATCTATCAGAACAAGCCTGCAGAGCAGAAAATAGGAAAAATTGGTATATGTTTACTCTGCTCTTTGGATTCCTTCTGAGTGAATGCCTCCAACAAATGAGGAAGGGAATTCTAGCTTCAAAAGAGTCTTCTTACTTGCAGATTTTCCCAAGAATTAGCATGCTCAAGTAGTCTTCTCAATGCTAACACGAAGCTATTAGGAGAATTAGATTGATAGCAATGACTACACTTTCTTTACCAAAATCTCATTAAATTCTACATACTGAAAACGAGCCGAAGAGCACAAGTCATCTGTACAGATCAAAACTGTAATCTGCTTGCTTAATCCATGCAGCTGTTTGGGTTTGACACTTAAAGGAAGCACAGTACTAAGAAATTAATACATTTCAAATTTTATCATCAAAAGGCTGCTGCAGACTTTCTAGACTGATTAGCAACTATTCTTCTATTTATTAAACGCATGTAAGATCTGCCATTCTAGGTCACATCAAAGTTCCATCATCTCAGAAACAGACGCACAGGGAAAAAAGTACAAGAAATAGGATAAATTCACAGTAATATTTAGGATTTCCTGTTCCAGGAGTCACATTTGGAGAATCATATGTAATAGCTATTTATGGACCTACACTTCCTTTTTTTGGAACTTAAAGGTTTACTCAGCACATGCACGTTGAGCGCCAGACAAGGAAAACATCTAAAAAGACAAAAGCAAAAACGCGTGCATCTTTGATAGCCAGGTGAGGCAGTCAACCCTCATGATATCACATGCTTCACTAAGTTTAATTACTGAAAGCAGAGGAAAAATATTCCATAAACGAAAGGTTTCATACCCCATCCTTAACATGCAGCACCAGTGCAATTCTGTATGAATATTACACGTGGATGTGCAAGCATAAATGTGTATTACACATAAACACAGAGTTCTACCCAGGCTTTTTACTTGACTCAAGTCTATGACATTTGTCCAGTCTAACTTTCTCCTGCTATTACTAGGATTTGCAAGCAAAAGCCTACTAATATGAAGAAATTTCACTAAAAAACTTATTTGTGTTTCTGTTAAACATGGAACAGGAACAACTGAATGTTCCTCAGTTTTCTCCTGAAAGGAATACAAATCCTATAAATACATGTGAAACATACAGACATCTGTAATACTTATTATTGAGATTTCTTAACTGTATCTGTCTGACTTAAGCAGTGAGCGCTTAAGGAACTGTGTGCATGCCTTTCTTTTGAATTACAAGTAAATCCTTCACAAGCGTCCATTTATGTTATCCTAGCATAGGTTTTCCTTTGGAAAACTTCCATCTCTTGTCAACTGATCCCTGTAGTCCATGAAGGGTAAAGCACAATATTTGTATGTGCTTTATAATACAGAAAATATATGCTATATTTTAAAATATGTTTCATTTACTTAAAAAAACAATAATAGCTTTAATATAAACTTTATCCCCATCCTTCCCTCCAAAAAAGCATCAAGCCTCTTTTTAAGGTATTCCAACAGTATTTGCCATACACTAAGATGATTCACTTTGCCTATTTTCTCACAGACCATTTCACAATATTTTCCTGGTGTGAAATTCCCCTTCAGTTCATTAATTCAAATTTTATTTTATTCCTCCAGATAGATTTTAACTTCCTACTTAAAATACCAATCCCCCCTTTCTTTGCATTTAAAGTCTTCCTTCGTTTGAAAGGGGGTTACTGGCTTTTGAATTGTACAAAGTTTTTTCTACTCTACAATGTTTTTTCTACTGTACAAGGCTTGCTACTATCTAGTCATTACTAGCTAGAAATCTAAACCACGTAATTGCGACAGATCCCTCTCCAATACTGTTCTGCAATCAGCCAGGCATGAAATTCTACACTGAACCTATTAAAAACTCATACTAAAATACAAAGGGTTCAATTCTGCAAAGTTCTACTTTCAAGTCCTACTGATTTTAACAAGATCAAGTGATCATTCAGCTATCAAGACACCTGAGAGATCGTATCTTAAGCAGACTCATGAGATAAGGTACTGCCATTTCAGCAGCTGACCTCTGCCCACATACGGCTAATGCCTGGTTCAATGGGACCACGCAAAAGGATGAGATACCACTTGAGGCTCATATCAGGACTATTCTCTAAGATCACTGTACAAATAAATACACAGAAACACTTTTTTTTTTTTTTTTTTTTTTTAAAAGGACAAAGACAAGCAGGAATTCAATCACCTTTTAAAAACTACTATAGTAGCAGAAATATCAGAAAACTAATTGAGGATAAAATGCTTGTGAATTAGAAGCAAATCACTTGTACCTAGATAACGGAACATGTTATTCAAGACCATCAAGTTGGTAGCGGTATTAGCCTATTTACAACTTTCCCCACTTCCGTACTTGTTACATTTCTTCTCCAATTTGACTAGAATATTCAGGGAAAGGGTTATATTTCACATTTTATCTACCATAACGAGATCCTGATCCTAAACAGGACTCTCGGAACGAAGACAAGAAAATCACACTAGTATTACTCAGAAAATGTCACGAATGTAATGCATCATTTCCACTAATAAGTTGACTCAGTGATGCTTTTGGTGGTATATATTAAAAAAAAAAAATACAAATACTCACTCATGTTCCAAATACTATGGAACTGATATTGCATGTTGAAAAGAAAGTATTTATCAAAATAAACATGTGGTGTGTTCCCTGCCAAAGATCCATTCTCCAAGGTCTGAGTTGGCAGCATTCTTTCCCACCTTCTTAGAAAACTGAAAGATTTTTTTTTTTGTATGAATCATTTCCTCACAGAACCATGTGGGATTTCCTTTGGCTATGGCTAACAATTACGTACTTTAGGGCATACACTCTTAGCTCCAAGAGAGTAACTGAGTAAGTATTTACTCAACTACACTTTGACAAAGTAGAGTTGAAAACATCATCTTCAGGAGCTTTTCTGATTAAAAGAAAGGTCAGAAGTAAGAAGAAAGTGGCAACCACCCCCTTCCAGTATGCTCATTCTTTGCTCCCTTCCTCCAAAAACCCATGACTTTAGGAGATAAATCAATTCCTTTTTCTTACTCATATCGTTAGAGGCCAATACATCATGTATCTTAAAGTATTTTAAAAAAGGAAACTTAGACTGAATACTTACGGAGTCCAAATTATTGGAAAGGCAGCAACTTCTTCAGGTGTATATTCATCTAACCTCCTAGGGACTGCACGTGGCTGAGGAAGCTCTTCCACAAGATTTTTCTGTATATCTTCTGGGATAACCTAAGGTGGGGAAAAGAGCAGTCTTAGCTATCTGATTGTTAAAAAATAAATCTTTTGCCTAGCAGAAAGACATTAAAGAAAAAATATTAAATAAGTATTAATTTATATACATGTTGCATTCTTCACATAAGCTCAGTCACTAGTTCCAACTCTGCATTAAATGATTCAACTTACTTCACATATTTGGTTCTAACAACTTCAGCACAACTAGTTTCACTGGAATTTGAAGAGACATGATATAGTTGATCTGCCAAATAACACTTGTAAAATATTTTTTAAAGGTTTCTTCAGTCCTTACCTACAATTTTATGTATCAAAATTTAAGATTTACGATTCTCAGAAGAATTAAGGAGCATTAATGAAGAAAGCTAACAGCCACAAAAACACAACCAAATTCAAACTGAGAGTATATTTTGAACCACCTTTAAAACTTCAGAAAAATGGAGAAAAAACTAAATTATCAGACTGCAGATCTCATACTGAATACTTGTTCTTAGGAGATAGCTTAAAAAAAAAAAAGTCTTGTTACAAGCTCCTTGGAGACTAAGCCTGGACATGAACACCAAAGTGTTGCCAAGTAGTTCAGGATGACAACAGCGGCCTTGATAAGGTGGAAGCAGAGAGGCTGTCTTAAGAGAGATGAGATCGAGGCCACTTGTATTATATACTGCATCACAGTCATCACTGCTTTGGAAATAGTAAATCTGCTTCTAAAAGTTAAAGGTTAATAGACTGTCGGCCACAAGAACTTATTCTGCTATGTAGCGGCTCACAAATCAAGAAGAAACAAGTAAGTTTTTCTGTAAAAGAAACAGGGAAAAAGTGATAGGACTACAAAGCATTAAAACTGGAGAGAAAAGATTATGATCACCTTACCTGGCTAACAAAAAATGACCCCCACCTTACCAATCAATCATATATTTTTGCTAAATAAAATGTATACACTTGAAATCTATTTTTTAATTTTAATCTTTTTCAAAGATCAGAGGGAAACTGTCTTCCTTGTGCAAAGGAATCTCAGAATCAGCATCCATCTAATAAACGACACTGAAAAGAAGGAAAATGTCATTTCATATTATTTTTCTAGAAGAACAACTAAATCTGCTTTTTGTTTTTTATTTGGGGAGGATGAGGAACAAGAATATAATACAAGTATAATCAGTTTCTAAGGTTCTTCTCAAAAACAGTAATTAGCATGTTCATAATAAAGATGTAGTTCATTGTTTGAGCTAAAATACCTCATAAAACAGGGTGGAAAGCTCTTTAAGCTCCCTATAAAGAACAACAGTGAATTATGAAGCACGTGTACAAAATTTTCTGTTCCCCTCCCCTAAGTACAAACATCTTTTTTTGCCAGGATTCATTTGCTACCAAATTTCAATTCTAAGATTGCTTTGTGCTGCCTTCCCTGCAGAATGTCCCAAATGATAACTACCCTGGGTAGTGGAGTGTCTTATAGATACCTTTGTTGGGGAAGATGGGGCTCAAATCCCCACCTCTGTAAAGGCATTATGCTTCAGAATTTGCTAATTTTTTGTCTGTCAGAAAAGCATGCTTGGGGAAGCTGCAACAGTCAAGGTTTTTCATTACTTGCATGTGCTTTTAGAAAACAGACATAACCTGTGAAATCTTCATTCTGTGGCTTTCAGTAAACATGAATTTTCTTCTACAACTATCACTGCAGAGTATGCAAACCAATCTGTCCACCAAATTTTATCGACACTACTGCACTTTCCACACTAAATGTTCAACCTGCACATAGAAGACTAATTCTCATGCCTGTCACAATTTTGTGAAATAATAAAGAAAAAAGTATGAACGTACAGCCTGTATTTACATACATAAATAACATGCAGTCTAATTTTTTTAAATTCATCTATCTTCTTATGATAAGTAACAGATTTGCTACTGCTAACACCCCCTCTTCACCTCCAAAGCAAAGAGGAATGAAAACGTAACTGTGCATAACTACTGACTCACATCATCTGGGAAAAGGTGCAACCTCTGCATCATAGTTCTTCTCTGAAGGTTTTTTGGAAGCCTTCTATAAATAGTCAGTTTAACAATCTGAGGAAAGAGAAAATGGTAACAAAAAAATACATGAGAAAGGCCATAAACAACAGGAAGAAGATGAGATGTGTTTCCCTTTACCCGTTGCACTAGGTTCTGAAACTCTTCTCAGTCAACTTCTTCCATATTGAAGAACCCTGGCACCACATTTAGAAGATGCTCTAGGTGTACTGTTCTGGGTGAGGGAACACTTTCTCTCAACAAGATCAGTCATACAAAAAACTGTCAGAAAGTTGTGAGTCATATTTAGCATTATGGATGATTGCGTACAATCATTAGACTTGCCAAAATATTGATAAGTTTGTAGCAACTCCATGATGCTAGTACATTATTGACAAAAAAAAAAAAAACACAGTACTGTTACACAGTAACAGAGTCACCAAATATTCTCTGCATCTATTTTAACACTGTAACTTGTTGTGTTTGATGTTTCTATGTAATTAATGTATCATATCTTAAGAAAGCCAACATACCAAGAGACTGCCTCAAGAACACACTATATGTAATTATAATTTATTGCCTTGCTATTAGCTCCAGATGAACGATCCCACTTTTGAGCATCAGCAGTGAATAGAACTTGTACATCTACAGTACATGATACTTACAGCGAAACAATGCAGTTCAGTATGATTTATCTTGGACCCTGCTATAGATATCTGCACTTTAAATAAGAAACCCAGTGCTACAGATTTCATCCATAAGTGCAACATTTTTTTGACATAAAACAAGGCGCACAGACTGCTGGAGACAAAAGGGGTTTCTATGAAGGACAACAAGTCTTTTAGGGGTAGATCTACACGTAATTTGGTTAAGTAGAAGCAAGCCTGCTCTGCTCTGCCCACGCTCCAAGCCAGCCAGACATAAGCCAGCTCCAAATCACAAACCGCGTTACCACGCTTCGTGCAATGTTAAGCTGAAGTCAGTAAGCCATGCTGAAATGCAGCGCATTAAGCACAAATGTACTGCATCTGGTATTTGAAAAAGTGTGCTGAACAAAGCTGCTTCCATCGATAAAATTCATTAAAACTATTACATTAAAATTATAAGAAACATTCACTACCACTGAGTTTCCAGCTGGAAACATGCAGCCCTTAATCATTTTGTTTTTCAGATGTTAAATGCTTGAAATTCATGAGAATCGCAGGTTCTTAAATCTGCCAGCACTTCTATTTGGATTCTCAAGATAGCAAACATTCAGATAGTTTTGGCCTCAAAAATTTCATTTTGCCATTCATAGGTTCAAGAGAGAAGTTAAAAGACAATAATGTTGTCTTAGTATCCAAGTAAATATTTACTATACGCCTTGAGATACTCTGAAGGCATTACAGAAATCTCAAAATCATGAAGATTTTCAGATGTTACACAGCCAGTACTACAGATCTGTAGAAAAATATAATAAATCAAGATGATAGAAGAAACACATCAAGTCAGGCAGAGCAATCAATAGTGTTGATACCATCTCTTAAAAAACAAAACAAAACACTAATGTTCTTAAGGATAAAGATGGCCCATACTTGCACAGTAAACTATGTATTATTTAGTTCCATTTACCATGTGCTTAGACAAAAGCAAGATGAAGATTCAAATGAACCTTCACTGATTTACTTGACTGAATATTGATAATCAAGTGAGACACAGTAGCAAAGTAAGCATGTGAACAGTCCCTTTCCCATTAGCTCATTTTCTTTTCTTATACTTATTTTCCTTTCTATTCAGTATTTTTCTTTATAGCCATTGAATATACAAAATATGTCAGACCTAAGACAACGGATCCAGAGACTTCATAAAATATTGCCAAACTATAAGGATTTCTTTGTCTGAAAATTACTTCTAACTTTAGATTGTGAGAGAATTAGTGTTAAATCTCTAGATTAATAAGCTGTACATACACAGGGTCAAACACCTGACCTATAAGCTGCAGAAATACAGAGCTAGTTTGTTAATGATTTCACTCCAATAAAAGGAGAGACTTTAAAATACTTTGGTGAACATTGTTAAATATTCAAATTCTTCAAAGAACACTTATTTGTGCCAGATTTTTCATCCTCCTCTGCAACATTAAGCACAGACATTTGTTGGAACAGGTCAATGAACTAGATGAGCTGCTGGTCTATTTGGGTTGCAGCTCTTTGCCTGCTGAAGCTGATTCGATTTTTTTAGTCCCATTGTAAAGTCCTACTTACCCTTGTAAAAAGGTGCCTATTAAAAAGTCATACTGGAAAAGAACAAGTGATTTATATGCACAAGTTAAACAATGAGGAAATAGTTTTTCTACTGTGTACAGTCACTGCAGAAGTGACAACCTCAGGGGACCAGAGACTAACATGAAAGCAGGATTTGGAGAATGATACATGGACAATTAGACATTCGATAACAGTTACCTGTAAGTTAGGTATGCTTAGTCCAGTAAGCAGAAGCAAAGGTTTGCTTTGGGGTGTTGGCCAACTTTCAGGCCATTCAGGGACCGATTTGGCCCCTCCTCACATACACAAGAATTGCATTATTGCAAGGTTTGCCCAAGTAGAAAAATCACCTTCGTGTGAAGCAGACATCATTTTTCATGGCTGGACAGATGATATTAACTTGCCTGATCCAGTACAGGAAATTGAAATTTACTGTCATAGTCTCTCCCACTTCAGAGCTTACATGTAATTAAACGAACTCTCAGAGGAAACAAACTTATGACCTACTAACTAGACATTTCACACAGCTCATATTTTTTAAATGTAACTCTGTATGGTTATCATACAGCCATTAATATTTAAGCCACATAAAAATATTGCCATCCATATGCTACATTCATGCAAAGAACAAGACGGAGGAATAACCTTGGGTTCGGGCATGCGTGATCCCTGTCCCAGTAACTCGCAGGAAGGGCAACAGACAGGTTGACTTCACACACTGGTCAATGCACCTAACCTGCAACAGAACATCATTTCCTTGCTGGAAATGGTCAAAGGCAGATTTACCCCTCCCTCCCCTCAAGTTTATTCACCTTGGTCAAGAAGAAGTTAAAAAAAAAAAAGAAGAAAAAAAAAAAAGAGAGAGAAACTATTATTTGAGCTTTTTTAAAAAAACAAACAGGTGTGTTGCTAAGTAAGCTGGAGTGTGAATTTACAAGGCCCTGCTACTCTGCACTGTTAATAGTGGGCAACTCAAGGTAGTTTACTAAAAAGCACATAACAAAGGGCCACGCGGGGAGCCAGGGCAGGGGAGACAGTGCTGGAAAACTTCAAGCTTCCTTTGTTGCAACGTCACCCTCAAAGATCTTATTGTGAGCCAAAGCAGCTCCAAATACTACTCCAGGAAAGACTGAGCTTACACCCAGCTCCCTGCCCAAAACTTGCCTACAGTCAAAATTTCAGGCTAACCGTTTTGATGACAAGGCAAAGAAGCTGGTAAAGGACAGGCTTAACTGATGTTGCTACTAGGCTACAGGCAGCCTTTGCTACTAAAGTAAGCTTGCCTAACATAAAAGGCAGCATCAACAAGCAGTATTTATAGGATGTTGAGTTAGCCACAATAAGGCTCTCCTATTACCTGGCTGAGCATTACCTGGTTGAGCATAAGGCTCTCCTATTACCTAACCAACCATGGCTGAGCATTACTAAGAGTAAACAAACCCAAAGGAGAAGGCCACGGGTTTGCAAGTAAAACTGGTGCTGAGCTCAAACAAAACTCATACCTGGATTCAACGCTCCTGCAAAACAACAGATCATGCTGTTTCTTTAATGAAAAAAAAGCCACTCTATATGTCAGTAATATACTTCCAATACAAGCCAAACTCCTATTAATGCTTTGCATGTGATTATGTTTATTTTAGACTTCTAAAATAACAAGAGCTTAATTTTACATGAAAGGTGTAAAAATTGATTTCAGTGGGATTTCACATTGGCAAAGGGATCTACTCACAGTTCTCACTGCAACCTTCATCAGAGTTCAAAACTAATTAGTACAACTTACAAATTTATTCACTTATTTGTGTATTCCCACTGCCTCCTCTCCCCAGTGCTTTACCTCTGCTACTAGCTACTAGTAAAATTCCATATCCTCATAAGTGTTCACTCCCATTTATAAAGACCATGATATCTCCATCAGGTAAAGATGTTCGCTGTCGCGTGTACAGCTCCTTAACAGACACGACAGCATTAAGATTTGGGGATTTGTAAAGCACGGGAATACTGCCTGTCCTAATTTCTTGTGAATTACAAAATTCCTTTTGGCTGTACTTACAATTATCTTCTCCAATATTTCAATACCTTTTTTCAAGTTGACTAATTTACATATTCACAGCAGAAACATGCTTTTAATTACACTGTCAAACAGAGTTATATTTCTAGAGTTTCCAATTTACTTAAAGAGCAAATACAAAAGAAAAATACTCTAAAGGCAACTCTGGTAAAATTCTGGCACTTTCAGTCCTTTACTATCATCTCTACACATTTTGTGAGTATATGAACAAATTAAAAAATATGTGGCTCTTAAGACTTTGGCTCCTATGGAAACTGAAGGCCATGCTTACAGACACCAACTCCTGGAAAAGAATCCTTGCCAGATGAAATGTACTTTAAAGATGGAAATACCACTCTCAGGCTTGAAAAGTACAAAACAAGTGGCCAAAGTTCCAGAAGAAAATCTGCCATAATGGCTGAAGTAAGTTCAGTAATTGCTAGAAAGTAATTCTAGAACATGAAAAGGACACAGCCACTCCAGAAAAGGACAAAAAGTGATTAATTGCTGTGCGTATGGAAAAAAACTGGAAGAATTTCAGGAGATTTCTCAATTACCCAGAATTACAGCATGATGCCATATCTTCCTTCTACCAGTTCTTGGTCTATTCTGTATACGGTACTGTTCTTTTCACTACTTAAACTATGTAAGGATACATAAATCTTCACCATTCTGCCTTTGACAGGTATATGAGTAATACAACAAAAATGAATGTACTTAATATTGCAATAGGAATAATTTGGTCCTACATAAATTACACGTTCAGTGCACGCCATACTGCTTTCCACTACTGTTCAGCACTTAAGAAGTATAATGCATTGTTTGAATGAGTATCAGTGCCTTGCAAAGCCAAGCCCCAGATAAGAACTGGGTTAAGGCTTTTCTTAAACAAAATGGTGTTTATTTTTGTCTGCTAGGAAGCAATGGATCAAGTCAGCTCTAAGTCCTATTGAGAGCACTAAGAAATTTTAAGATACCAGATTCTCTAACAATATTCTCGCCTCCATGCCATTCTAACTTCTGCGCCCTTACTAATCCGGACTTTGAAGTTTTGTTCTACTTAATTAAAAAACATTCCCTATCCCACAGTCATAAAAGAAAATTCTATGTGGTGTTTTATTAACAGACCTTTAGTATGTGCATATTATTCTACCAACTATCCCTTGCTTTGCCTGACACAAAGAAAAGAGGCTTTCAAATATCAACAGCAAGATTTAACCATGTTTTCTGTCCAAGTTTTTCTTCAACGGTCATTATATTGCTGCTATAATGGCAAGTCAATACACGCAAGAGGTTGCTAAAGAGCATTCAAAAGCAGAATTAGAATGTTTTAAGCCCCGTCGCATCAGTGCCAGCAGCTAAACAACACTGACACCCCCGGAGGCTTCCTCACAGCTTATTTCCATTCAGTTACCCTGTCTCGCTTAATAATCTTACTTAGCAGGTAGCGTTCATTCTGAATAGTTATTGTCCATCATTTCTTTGTCAGAGGAAATATAGCCTCTGCATACTGCAAAAGCCCGTCATCAAATTGACTATTTGCTATTAGCCAAATGCGATTTATTTACACTCAGACTTAAAGTACACTTGCATTCTTTTTACCCTCTCAAACACGTGACAATTAAAAGTATATCTTTTAGTCTTCCCACATCAAGCATGCTGAAGCCTAATTCTGAAAACGCTGGTCTCGTGCCTATCAGCATTCTTCCAGCTAAACAAGATTTCTGCAGACATTATTGAAAGAAAACCCTAAACTCCAATGCATTCTAAACGCTTGCATCTCAAATAAAAAGGTTTAATTGTTTCCTTTATTTTTGAAAGACTCTCTCTTGGAAAAGAAAACACATCCAACCTTTCAAACCGATTTTTCTTAGCAGCCCAAAATGCTGTTCCCTAATAGATCCTAAAGAAGTAGTGGTAGCATACAGAAGACTAGAAATGTATCAACCTGAAAAACAGAGAGACTGTTTCAAACTACAGCGACAAGCTGTTATCATGCTGCACCTAAAGAACATATTTAATTCCCCAGTCTTTGGGTGGTCCAAGAATTTACATTAAATCTCAGTTGGAGAAAGAAAAGGCTGGAGTATGAAAGAGCTATTTTTTTCTTCATTGAACACTTCTTGAAGAAGCCTGGCTAAGCTCTATAGAAGAGAGCTACTCTCTGCTATTCTCCAGAATAACAGACAACTACAAACATCAGAAATTTTAGACGCACACGCACATTAAAGGTGCTGAAGGTAAAAATGTGCTAGCTTGTTTACGTTTAGAATCTTTTTGCCAGGGTGCTGTAGCTTCTACCTTTCCATGAAAGCAAAACTTTCCAGAGAGCTGAAAAAATCAGCATGATGAACGTGGAATTACATGTCCTATACAAAACATCAACTATGCAGACATGTTTTTGTACCTACTGTCCCATGTGAATGTAAAAGATACTTGAAAGTGGAAATAATAATAGCATTTCGTGTAGCTCACATGAAATAAAATTATATACCTGAGATTGAACACTCATAATATGCATACTTTCTTCTGAACTGAAAAGATTTGATCCTATTAAAAAAAAGTATGTGCACGTTCAAAATTTAGCACATATCCTTACTGAACGCTAACTCCTATCTGCAAGGAAAATGAAATTCCAAAGTTAGTAAGCTAAATAGGTTGAGGTGCACCTACATAAAGTGAAATTATCAGATTTCCATCCACCTCTATCCTGGTACCTTTTGAAGGAATTAGAAAAGATCAAGGACGATCATATGACTATACTGTAGTAAATAAGTCTAAATTCTGACAACTGTAGTTATGACTTTCAGCCCTGCATGCAATGCACACTGCATCATTTTGCATCAAATTACTCATTATCACCCATTGTTTTAATTATTAGCTGTGTACCAACTTTTCCTAAAACAAGTCTATCTGTATCGTAGAAACCACATTTAAACAAAATTTTACTGGAAAAATATTTATATTTGGATTTGTGTGTTTGAATTTAGATGAATGTAATTAAAGATAACGGTAAACAGCATTAGAGTATTACTGTATGTGCACACGAAGACTCTTATAAATTTAAATTTATTTCTTACGTAAACTGGAAATTGTCATATACTTTGCAAAGTCCACACAAGTTTACAGCTGGTTTTATGTCAACATCCTTTTTCCTTGTAAGTAGCCTCTTCCATTAATTTAATTACTTAATTTCTTTTAACATCACTATTTCCAAAAATAACGTTGCCTCATCTAATGAAACGCTATGAAGATGAACTAGCAGGAGATTGCAGGAATTAGGGCAGAGAAAGAGTACTAGCCTCCAGAACGAAAACAATGCTTTACAGAAGAAAGATTTTGATTGCTGAAGAAGACACGTTTTGCTTCCTACGACATACCTAATTCCACAGGCTTCATAGAAATTGGATTTAACCTAGTTCTAAAAAGTCCGTTTTTAATTTTAAAAAGTAAAATAAACTGGTATACAAAGCCTATACGATAACTACGCATCATTTAGGTCATATTTTGAGGATCCAAATGCTACTTAGACTAGGTATTGGCCTTCCTCACAGCAATTCTTCTTCTGTGCCAACTTTAATAGTTAGGTCTAAAAATGAGCTTAATAAAAACACCATCATAATTTCCATCTTTATCACGTCTTGATGTATGTCACACTGGAACAGCTCAACTAGTAAACAAATGTTTCTAGCTATAATATCACTTGCCAGTCAAAAACCATAGCAGCTATACATACAGAGTATGTCATGCCAAATGACCGTTCACCACTATTATTTACAGTATGTCACAAAACACGTATCAGATAACTTTATGAGAGGGACATATAAACACTTTATCTTGAATAGAATGAAAGAGTTAATTGTTGAGGGCTCTTCAGAATTCTGTTTAAAAAGTTTCTCTTGCTAAATTAAACCAAGTCTTGAGCCACATCACCATTCGCTGAGTCTCTGTCCAACATCTTTTAGCTATTGGCAGTGCATTTAATCGTTCTCTGTTTCCAGAGAAATTCATCTACGAGTCTGGCAAGAAAAGAAGTATTTCAGAACAAATGCCAAAAGGTAATTTATAGAACATCCAATTCTCAGGGCCTACCACACAAGTTGTGTTACACTGCCTCCCAGTGTACAGCTTCTAGATGAAGCACAAAAGAAAAAGGCTGAAGACTCCATTTGAGACATGGAACTACTGCTAATTCCAAAACAGAATTACAACTACGCTAGAGCCTGCTCTCAAAAGCACTTCAGTTGTTTTGCAAATTTCCACACGGAGAAATATTGAACTGTAGGGTTTTATTTCATCATTTCGTTTTTAAACAAAAAATAATTACTAAACTGAAACCAAAAAAATACCCCAAGCAAATTCATTTTGCAGAGACTGCTTTTTTATTCTGTACTTATGCTATGTCCTGTAAAAAAGAACCTTGGAATAAACTGAGGTTTCCAAATCATAGATAAAACATCATTGATAAAAACAAAGAACTTTGTAGCAGATACAAATTCTCTAGGAAAAGGAGAATTTTTAATATTCCATACATAAGATGACCTAAGAAAAAGCACCTGCAAGTCAAAATCAAACATACATATCTTAACCTCAGTGGGCTTCATATCATATTCTAAAGCACTGGCACGTAGAGAGTTCAATCCTCCATTGCTGAGAGGATTGAAAACTCTTAATAAAAGCAAGGGAAAAGAAGACCTTTGCATCATTTTGTAATGGCATAAGTCAACATTTCAAAAAAGGAAAAAAAAACCTTCTCTAGTGCCCTCATTTTTAATCAGTAATAAACACATCGATACTGCTAATACTGTCTACTACAGACAGTTATTAAAGATGCCTAAGTTCAATGTAATCACCACTTCCAGTTCCCTCGTAAGCCGTGAATACACAGCATCCCAGAGAAGATTTAACAGAACAGCTGAAAAAAAACTTACAGATGAAATTTACTGGTAGAAGGAGTCAGGTGTATTTCCTCCACTTTTAAGATCAGCTTTATTCTTGCTAGCTCTTAAGAAAGTAGTAGGGTCATTAAGCTGAAGTACAGCTTAGCTAAATCTAATTTGGTTTGGTTAATTTATGAGAAAGGTCAGACCTCTGAAACGAAAAGCAAGTCAATTAGTTAAAAGTGAGTGAAGGAAAAGAACTTGATTTGCCCATTTGGAGAGCATGGAAGAACCAAGGAAGCGCGCAAGCTACAATCTAAAACACACTGCTTACAAATAGACTGTCACAAGCCAAAACAGCTTTTGGTAGACTGTTTGTAAATTAGCTTTAGACATGCTGGTAATTGCATCCATTTTGTTTAGCGGAACTAACTAAATGAAAACAAACCAAACTCTATAATGAGAGGGAAGAAGGAAAAACACTCACAGCAGTTGGATCCTTCAAATGGAGCTGACTTGCTGTCACTTGTTTGAAACCACCAGGATATCTAGAAAAACAAAGCAAACATACAGGATTAAGGCTATTATGCTCAAGCACAAATATCGCTGTATCTTAAAAAACAGCCTTACTATATGTCTTACTATAAGCCCTCAAAAAGGGCTCTCATGAGGCTAACAACTACTTTACGGTAGAAGCAGTCTCTTCTGACAAGTATCTAAGTTTGGAACCATTTATCACTATTTGTAGTTCTTTATTCATTCACTTGAGTATTGAAGAATTATTACTTCACAGGCCAATAGATGTGCTGTTAAATATACCACCACAGCTATAGACTACAGTGCGAGTAACATACGCAAAACTTCAAAATAGTCAAGATGATCAACTCTCAATCAGACTAGGGCTGACATACACGAGATAAACCTTCTGAATACTACTTATTATTTTCTTAATATTTTAGCCACGCCTTTCCATGATTTGGTAAATCTACAGTAATAAAACTTGACTTCACGTAAATAAAAGCATAGTAGAAGGTGTCTGTCTTTTTAAAGTCTTTGTGATTTGATGAAATTGCACTAATTCACATTTAACGCTATACTTTAAACGGTTCAGTGGTGCAAGAGATTACACAGAGGTCAGGTAAAGCGGGGTTTAATTTCAATTTAATTACATTATTAGGAACCAACCTATGTGAAACACAAATAAGCCCAACATCCATTAAAACATCTCCACAGAGGGAGCTGCGCAGATGTGCATACTTACTAGCTGTACAATTCCTTTCACTTATTCAAAACCAACGTAGCTACTTACACTAGCGCTTTTTGCATGCAAGTTTCAAGGAGTCACAGGGGTGAGGGAGGAAGAAAAATCTGTTAATTGCCATCAACTTTGAACAAGAACTTTGCAGCAATTCTACAAAAGCTTCCGGACTGAAACATCAGTACTAGCAAAATTAGCTTTCTCAGCATTGCTTATTCATCTCCCAAACGGATACATTTTAACACTCTCTGAGATCCAATACTATCAACACAAAGTACATGTTAGGTTTTTTTTTTTGTCCTCTGATCCAAGGATATGTCAGTTTTGATACTTGCTGTTAGATACAGTAACATAATTGAAGTCGATGAAGTTGATGTCCCTATACATCTTAAACGGGCAGTGGTTAAAGGAATATCTTCTACTGCTTGGGAAACAAGTCTTCATCTTTGGGATCGTCTCCACACAAAACAACCTGGCTCATCAAATTTGTTTACTCACTCCATTGCTCCAATTTCTCGTCAGTCTGATTATTTCCCTAACAATGTACACTGCAAAGAAAGGTTTGCATCCTTTTTGAACACCTTAATACACACAAACAAAAAACAAAACATGTAAGGAGCTATTCCTTTTGAAACAACATGCTACATAAGACATTAACTACTAACCTTAATTTTAGTGGTAACTCCCTGCAATATTCACTTAAAAGTGATTTAACACTTACCCAGTATGCGAAGAGTATACTTTCTGTTCCCATTTGTTACCAGAAAAGGCGATATGCCTTGTATTTATTATGACAACATGATCGCCACAATCACCTACAAGATAGAAATTATTGGAAAAATATTAAGAGAACCACAGGAGTAAGCAATACAAATAATAGCTGTAACATGCACAATACATATACAATAACACATGCATACACATTTCATAAAGCTCAGAGGGAAAAATTTGAGCCTTCTGAGTCACTCCATCCAAACTTAGGTTTAAATACCTACTTCATCACTATTTTTCTTAGGACTATCAGGTTAGAAAGAAGGTGAAGCAGGTAAAATACTATCAGATTAGATAATTAAACCCCTGCAATTATTCACATAAGATCTGTAAGTCTGGCTTACAGGTAAGCATATTTTTTATTCAACACATTATGTTGCATATGCACCTACACTTCAAAAACTCAGTATAAAAAAAGTAAAGCTCAATTCTACACATATTTAATGTCCTTGTTTAATTTTAGCTTTCTTATAGAACAATAACAACGTTTACCAGAGGACTGACTATTTTGGATAAGTAAAATCATTCTACTAAATAATCACAGCCTAGAGCTAAATATCAATAGGAAACAAAGAGATTGCAAGTAAAAGCTAACTGTTAGGCAAAACCATTCTCAACACAGTCAAGCAATAGTGAATGTTACAGCAGATACAGATACATTCAATACTCTTCCTGTGATATCAGCAACTTTCACATCAAATATTTTAAATGCAGAATCTACATTCTAACAGCAATACCTCACCAGCAGTACTTTCTTCAATAGACCTTCTTTACTAATAAAATACTAATACAAACTCTACTATCTCAAAAATATCTTTGGAAAAGTGTAGTTTTTCATTTTAAAAGTAATCACCTTGATCATCTGTATAAGCTGCAACATTTGATTTATTCAATCAAATAACTGGAAGTAGATTTGTCCAAAGTTCACTCCCCCATGCAGTACCATATTAAAAACTACATAAGTATTTGAGGAGGCTTATTTGATGAAAGCATTTTGAGTAATTGAAAAATAAACCAGCTACACTTGAATACACTTAAAACTAGGCACAAATTTTTTATAGAAGCCTATAATTCATCAGTGCAAGTTTCCCATACTCTTGAAGTTTTCGACCATTTCATAATCTTGTGCTCCTTTACAGCCCTACTCCCAACTACAGTTGCACTGTAAGCAGTTTCAGTTTGTCTCTTGTGATGCAGCCATTCATTATCGGCAGATCACTTCTAAAAAGAAGTTTGTGTATAAACAACTTTGATAGGGAGCTGAGATCGGATTAGACTTTGCGCGTTTTTTGGTTTCTTCTTTAGTTGAGAAGATGACAGAACAGGTGCATCCTATTCTTACTAGCAGTTCTCCAGTTGAATAAATACTGAATTAACAATCACATACACTGATAGACCAGTTACAATCAATAAAGAGACAGCAGAAAAATTAACCGGGATACATACACCCTACATGAATAATGAGTGCAACCTGTTCTCTTTAAAGTAGATAAAGTTTATGCACAGCTAAGATCTCCCTTGAAATTTCAAGTTAATACCTTATTCTTCATGTGTTTTTAAACAGTGTTGCTCGCACCACCTCAGGAGAGAGGTGGTAGAGACTCAATAAGAAAGTAAAAACACTTACTGTGTGCAAACACATAGTCAAATTGCATCCTATTTCTGAAAAACATTCAAAAATCATGCAGGAAAACTCTTCCTTTAGACTGTTTTTATGCCATAATATTGAATTCTTTTATAAAATATGTTATCTCAACAAATACACAAAAACGAGGCCAGTACATCTTATTATGCTACATACTCTTTGTTCCATATAGCACGTATCTTGCACCTCTTCAGGGGAAACTCTGTGTAAGCCGTCACAGTAATTCCATTCCATATCAAGAAAAATAATTTTGAACCTGAAGATTTACAAATTTTCAGTAATTCTCATCTCTCAGTAAAAACATACGATTCAGGCACGTGCATTTTAATCAAGGACTAAATTCTGATCGAAGGCAGAGGCATCAATCATACTGTCAACTGCTAGCTCGTGAGACTGACAACCTACACACCAAACTTTTCATTTTAAGTCAAGTCTTAACTTTTCTTCTAGCCGTTATAAGCTAACATTGCAAGCCAGAGCGACACCTAGGCCAGATCTGGCCTGCAGGATGTTTCACCCAGCCTAGTCTTCTCCTTTAAGTGATGCAGAGATCAGCCGTTTGAGCAGCAAATACTGCCCAAAAAACACAATGGGTTCACCTGGACTTGCTCACAATCCAATAGGAAGAACCAGGCTGTCTGTATTTTGGTAAATCTGGCTCACTCAGACACTATTTTCAATGCTGTATTGCGAAGCTGCTCAAAAAGATAGCATGCAAGGGAAAGTTTTTTTCATGAGAAATCTGAAAGTCCAGGTCCAAACCCCACAAATGACAAGTTTTGTCATCTTATTTAAGGCATACGGTTCAACAGCATCTAAAATCGCAGTATTTCAGGGAGCAATGGAAGATTACCCTTAAAACACAAGGTAAACATACATGCAATCAAATTTCTTTCCTTCCCTACCCACAGCTTATATTTAATTTCTCATACTTTTCAAAACAGTAAGTGAATAATGGTTTTGTAAAACAATGACGTCCTTGTACCTAATTAAAAATAATCTGTGTTATTCCATCCAAGGAGCTGTTCTCTCATAGATACTAAAATATTTCTTGTTAGTTTGAAATAACCTGTTGAATACATCAACCACAGATGCCCACATACCAATCTGTCAACCTGAGACATACTTGAATACTTGAGATTAATCTCTTCTTTCATACTTCTTGGGTATATTAAGTTAGTATTCATTTATGGAAGGCTTTACACCAAATATCCTAGAAACGGCTTCCCAGGATTTATAACTTATGGAATATAAAAGTAAATAATCAAAGATCTTTTCCAGAGGACAACCAAAAACATTTCCTCTCACTGTCTGCCTTAATTTTGAAACAGCCTTACTCTCCAGTGTCATCTTGTGGATAAAAAATATTTTGTGAAAGTAGAATTTGCATATTTGAATAACCTTGAGAACACTACATGTAATACCTTTTATTTTGAAAATCAGATCAAAACTAATTTTATCACTTACATTCCACATGTAAAAGCAGAATTTTAACGCTCCATTTGTGTTTCAGTAATGTCTCTTGAAAAGTTTCCATGAGCATTACAGCAAATATTTTACCACCAATTTTAGTACCGAGTAAGGATCACCTTTGTATTACTTATCACAGTGAGGCAGGCGCTATGCTGGTACAAATAATACACAAGATCGAAGATAATATCTTTACTGCTGAATCTTCCAATTTGGAGATAACCAAAGCAAATTTTCCATTTAAACAAAAAGAAATCTTTCAGCAATGACTGCATCTCCCCTTCTGAAACCACACACCGGCTCCAGGCCCACCAGGAACTCAGGACCTACCTGCGCCTTACGCAGAATTAAGAACTGCTCCGAAATTCTGTGCTGTTTTGCAGCTAGACGTTGAAAGGTACTACTGAGAAACTTGAAAAATCATGTCATCGTTTCATTATGTGTGCTCAAAGACAAATCTTTACGTTTAAAATAAACGAAACTTTTCCAGCTTCTTTTAAAAAATGGGAGCACAACCGCATTGCAACACAACTACTAAAAATACATGAACAAACAAACAAATAATTAGAAATAAGCTTTACAAGGGTTGGTGGAGACGATAACATAAGGCCAATAGAGAGGAATAAAGGCCAAAGGCGAGAAGGAAGAGGGAGACTTCTACAAAGGATGCAGAAACGCAACCTTACAGGTCAGGCTTGGCTTTAAAACGGAAATCAACGGGGGAACACGCCGGACGGCCAGCACAACTGCTCCCGTCTTCGGCGATACTCACTTAGCGCGTGATAAATCGGTTTATGTCTGCCTTCAAGCCTCAGGGCAGCCGCAGCTGCTATTTTCCCCGGCGGCTGCATCCTCGCGTCCAGGAGATACCAGGCTCTGGCGAAGGTGGCCCATTGCTGGGGGGAGGGAGCGAGAGGTGGCGCTGAGCGCGGCCCCCCCGCAGCCCACCGACGCCCTTTTTTCCACGCCTCAAAAATCCAGGAACAAATGCCTCCATCGCACCCTCTCCAAATAAATTCTCCAGGGAAAGGGGCTATCGATACGCTGTGATCTACCGCCCTAATTTATAAGTGCTTATAACGTTGCAGGGAGATAATAGCGCCATAAAGGGCATTTTTCGGCCGGGGGGCAGGGAGAGAAGTGCCCAACAGGGGAGCTGCCCTGCTGCCGGCTTCAAGCATTGCTAACGATAACCCGAAGGGGGCCGAGGGCCGCCCGGGGCCC